CCCATAGCCCCTGTACCCTGCAGCTCCTATGCCCTGTAGCCCCATAGCCTGTGTCCCCCATGGCCCCCTTGGCCTGCAGCCCCCATGCCCTGTAGCCCCTATCCCTATGCCCTATAGCCCCTGTCCCCCATGGTCCCTGTCCCCTGATCTGCATAATGAGACATTATCAAACTGCATAATGAGACATCACAAACCTAGCACCGAACTAATCCGTTTGACGCACTCAATGCAGAGGGGGGGGTGACGGAGGTCAGTGTGCTGGATGATCAGAGCTGCCGTGACCCACCAAAGCCAGCTTCTGTCTCCCTAGTCCTCTGAATTCCACAAACAATATCACTGCTTCTGAGCAGGGAGGCCTTCAAAGGCTCGGCAAAGGGCATCTGCCAGCATCTCACCTTAAGGGTCAGCAGAGAGCAGCGGGGCTGCTTGCATAGGGGCTGCTGAGTGCTTGGAGACAGTGTGATCAGAATAGCCCTCATTTTCCCCTGGATGTTATTTCCCAAATACGAATACGGGGCGTTTCCCTGTGAAGTTCTTTAAAACATTACACTAAGTTTTGTCCACTGCTTGAGCTTTTGGGTGAATATTCTGCACGTCCTGAATCGTCAGGCAGCGGCACTGATCTCCTGTCGATTAGCATTTCAGTTATACACAAAAAGCGCAAACTGAGAAACACTGAATCATTGTGGCAGTGGGTGGCTTGGTGTCTGTGCCCCGGGGGGCAGCACTAAGCATGTGAGGGACACCTTTCAGTCTGATTAGAACACACGCAGGTGCGGACACGCCTTTGAGGAGTGTGGGATGATTACATCAGTAATAACCGTCAGTCTGTACACACATACCACAAGTTGCACCCTGTGCAGACAGTGAGATGTGTTAAAGATAAGGAAGTGCTTTAAAGATCAACGCTTTCATGAATCGTGCAGCGCTGACCACCCACAGGAGGCAAGCTTAGAGATGGAGGTGGGAGCTGTTGCTATGACGATTGGCATCGGGACGTTTCCGGCTGCAAACTGGAGGCTGAGGCGACTAGCCTTACCCCTGTGTGTGGCACTGCTCTCTTCTGGAACCTTCTGAGCTTTACATATTGGTTCTTAAGACAAAGCATGGAAGTGTGTTGGTGAGTTATACACCCCTGTGTGTGCCTTAGTGAGTTATACACCCCTGTGTGTGCCTTAGTGAGTTATAC